CGCTGCCGGCTGGGCGCAGGGGCGACCTCAGCGCCCCGCTACCGGGTCCCCCCGAGCCCTGAGGGTGCTGCGGAGGAGCTGCCCTTGGGAGTGCAGCCCTTCTGCCCCCTTTCCATAGCCACCAGCAGTCTGCTCCGGTCGCCGGCATCCAAGGGCTGCCGGCCGGCTCAGCCCTCCGGGGAAGGCTTTCCGCGTGCTCTCCTTGCCTCCAGCTCCGCACGTGCTCGGCGGCACCGCGGCTTCACATCCCGGCCGGCGGGACTGGGGGCGGGGCGGCGCAGTCCGCCACAGGGGCAGACGGGGAAAGCTGCAGGAGGCTCTTCAGCCCGTTGCCATCTCCGGCGGTCACGTCTCGTCAGACCTCGAGCTCCTGGGAAGAAGCTGGCTCTGCCTTTCAGTGGGGACTCGCTCACTTAGGTCCTCTAGGGGCCAGTGTGATACTACGGATTACGCGGCTTCAATGGCAAAGCCCTTGCTCTGAACACCCGGCAAGCCTGGCGTGGCTGAGCTCCGATCTTCGAGGCAAATGAGCACCAGGTTTTTAATCGGGGCATCTTTGAACTTCAACAGCAGGGTTTCACAAACAGGATCCTTTCAGGCCTCGAGCCCTGTGACGGGGGGGGCAATAAAACCAAACATTGTTGGATTCCTTTTTCCAATACCCCTTAAAAGTTGGGCTATGTTCAGGGGTGTAGGTTGTAGGAAGAGCACACACCAACTGCAGAGACTTCCTCAGCCTGACGAAGGGTTTTTAAAGCCGAAAGCTTGCCAAAAAAATATTTTTCCCGCTATTTAAGTTGGTCTAATAAAAGATATCAGATTCAGCCAAAGAACCTTTCCGGGCTATATTCAGTGTGCCCAGACTGGCACCAGTTGCTATTTCACATTTAGAAGCAATTATGTTTTCTAATTCAATGTGTCAGTCACACCCCACCCAGAGCTGCCTGCATGTGTGCTGCTTTCTTTGAGGTTTAGCTTTGCTCTACTACTTTGCAATTGTCTACTACTCTGTAATACTTTGTCATCATCAGAAGTTTACACATTTGCATAATCATCAAGTTTAGTGGCTTTACAGTTCTTCATTAACTTTTTTTTTTGAGGCAGATTTCCAAACTGGAGCAGTCTGTGCACACAGCTAAAATGCACAGGTACCCTGAATGGGTAGGTAAGTTTGAGTAAATGTCCACCTCATATTTTTTTATGTATGCAATATACCAAGGGGTGTTTCCAAGCAAGACCCACCACCATTCTCAGCACATCCCATTAGTACCTGAGGCTTCGGTGTCAGATGAGGCCTCAAATTTTATGATGCTTACAAAGTGTTTAGAGCAAAGCTAAGCCTCAAAGAAAGCAACACACAAACTAATAAACAGACCACAGGGTCATAACAGTACATCTGTATTTTAATTATCATTATGCTAGCAGTTGGAGAACCAAATTAAGATCAAAGCCCTGGTGTACCAACAGATAATAATAAAAGAGAATCTTTATTGTGAATAATGTCTTATAAACAGGACAAACAAATAAGTGTTCTAAGAAACTGAAGTAAAGAGGTTAAGTGACTTACCTGAGGAAAGACTGGAGTGATGTTGTAGCCATGATGGTTCAGGATTTATGAGAGGGGCAAGGATTATTGGACCAACAGTATGTTGTGATAGACAATATTTTGAATGCAAGGCATTCTTCATCAGATCTCATCTGACCTGAGCTGATGAAGAATGCTTTCCATTTGAAAGCTTGTCTAACTTTATCCCAAGCACACAGTTAGTCTAATAAAGATCTCATCCACACAAAAAAATATTTCCTGATGAAAAGAACTTGCATAAACTGAATCCTAATCTATTACCCTACCTAATGTAACCAGATGCTTCATATCTAATAGCAACTCTGACCTGCTTTCTGGCTGATTAGATGGATTTCATGATTTATGCATTTTCTGCATTTCCCTCACTTTTAAGTTGCTTCAGTCTATGGAAGTACCTGCAGAGGGTAACGTTAGGGGAAGAATATATCTGGTATCTACATAAACTGCGAAGGCATGGACATTTCTTTTTGTCTCTCATAGCCCCCCCTCCCCTCCCAAAAAATTAAAGAAGAGGTTTGATTTTAATTAAACTTACCCACCCAGTGAGGTTACATGCATAACTTTGTTAACCATACATGTTAAAAAAACAACAACAACAACAACAAAAACCTTATTGGAATTGGATTGCTTGTATATACAACATATTGCTTCTGTTCCAAATTCAACAACTTCAAGCAACATTTTAATATTTGTTGATGGTAATTGTCATGTATATTGACAAGTATCAGTCACATTTTGTTTCTTTTTAAATAAATGCAATACAATTATGAATAGATTCCAATTTGTATGTTTAGTGACCAAAATGAATATCATTCTAGCTCTGTACATTTCTTTGTAAGTGAGTCCTAAATTACATAAAGTTAAGGTAGTGTCTGCAGGGGTATAAATGGTATAAATTGGACCCATTAAGTTCACTTTGCAATCCATGAACGTTAAGAAGTATTCCTCTTCTGGGGGGGTTTCTGAGGAGCTTGCTAAATACATCTGGAAGTTTGTAATTGTTTTCAGTAAAGTGAGAAGTTATCCAGGTTAATCTGAAATAAGGCAGAAGGCAGAGCAGAATGTGATTTAGAGACTAACTCATTCTAACCAAGTTAGTCTCAAAGGTGCAACCTTGTATCATCTTTAATGGGGGCAGGTTTTTACTCTGTATGCATGTAACTTGCTGAACTTGCAAGACTCTAAAGAGAAGAAAGAGAAACAGTATACAATTGAAAGTTCAGCCTGACTTTTTCTTTTATAATTCCTGTATATGGTCCTTGATTTAGTCTTAAAAAAGATTTATACATTTTTCATGGAGATATATCATACTTGATTAGGGAATAGCTCTTTAGTAATTATAAGTTAGTCAGGGATCAGAAAGTTTCCTTCTATCAGAGGGACATTCATGACAGAGTTGCAGTTGCTTAAATATTTTTTTTGCAGAGCTATCAATTGGCTGGCTATTAAATAACTTTGAGGGCTATGTTAGTGACTTGGAATTAACATTATAATAAGCATTTATTATGCTTACCATCCTGCTAGCTGATACTAACCCAGACATAGTGGGGCTCACAGAAATGTAGTGGGACTCAACGCACGACTGGGTGGTGAATATCAAGGGCTATAGGCTATACAGGAGGGACAGGACAGGGAAGAAAGGTGGGGGTGTGGCGCTCTACATTAAGGAGGAATACACATCCTAACCAAGTAGCACAAGGTCAGAGGAGGGGGACACTGAAGTGCTCTGGTTTAGAATACAAGGCAGTCAAGGGGAAAGAGAATTAACAGTGGGGGTCTACTACAGACCACCCAACCAAGAAGAAGAGCTAGACCAGGAATTCTTAAGTCAGCTCATGGAGGTAGTAAGGTCAAAGAACATGGTCATCATGGGTGACCTGAACTTTCCAGACATCTGCTGGGAAGAGCAGTCAGCCAGGTCTGACCACTCATGTAGGTTCCTAGCTGAGATACAGGACCTCCATCTAACCCAGGAGGTGCACAGCCCCACCAGGGGAGATGCCTTGTTGGATCTGGTGCTGGCCACAGGTGATGACCTGGTGAGGGGTCTGCAGGTGCTCGACCACCTGGGCTACAGCGATCATTGCCTGCTGGAATTCACCATCCAGCGCAAGGTGGCAAAGGCCTGCAGCAAGGCAGCAGCCCTGGACTTCAGGAGGGTGGACTTCAATGAGGTAAGGAGAATAGTCGGTGAGGCACTGAGGTCCTGGAGGGGAGGGGAGTCAGGTGTCCAAGAAGAATGGTCTTTCCTTAAGGAGACGATCCTTCAAGCCCAAAGGGAGGTAATCCCAACATGGATCAAAGGGGGCAAGAGGGTGCAAAAGCCCCCACGGATCACCAAAGGCATACGGGAACGTCTCCTAGCTAAAAGGGAGGCGTACACCCAATTGGAAGAGAGGGGACATCACCAGGGAGGACTATACCTTGGTTGCTCGGAGCTGCAGGGGGGCGGTCAGGAAGGCCAAGGTGGAGATAGAACTGGGACTAGCTACCCAGATCAAGGACAACAAGAAGCCCTTTGTTAAATACATAGGGGGTAAAAAGAAGGTACCAGGTAACTTGGGGCCTCTGCAAGACATGCTAGGAAATTTGGTCATCACACCAGACAACAAAGCCAACCTATTTAACAATTTCTTTGCCTCCATTTACCTGAGCAGGGACCGGGTCACCCCC